ATGGAGGCTATCATTCGCTTTGACATAAGCGTTTCTGTGCAGCCCAGGTGCTGTGTTTGTGTCTCAGGCAGGAATAAGATGGAGGAAACTCTCCCTTTCTGGATTTCTTTCTTACTGGCTTGCATGGCTTTCTGCAGATACCACATGTGTTGCAAATCCCATTTTAAGTTTCTCAGCTCTCCTCATGCACTGCATATGGTGTTTAGGCATCTGACTTAAGACCCCCGAGTATCACATTAAATAAGTTTCTTTGGCAGTTCCTTAATTGGTGAATCCAGGAATACCCCTGGATCTGGGTGCATGTTTGGTCATGTCTTCACCCCATAGCTGTCGTCTCCTTCTGCATCTTGGCTCCCAGCGGGAGGAAACCAGGTGCATGGGCCAAAACAGTGCTGAGGCAGGCTCAAACCAGATCTCCCATTAAAATGAGTAGGAGTCCAAGACTCCTCAGATGTGAAATGCTGTGCACTTGCCATGTTATGTAGATGCAGCCTTATTGGGGAAGAAGGCCCTCAGTCTCCACTGTAGAAAACTTAAAGGTTTCCATTTTCTTGCAGAGTTTATTGATGGATAAAGATATTCAGGTTTCTCTCATACCTCCATGATCCAATTGCCGTTGAAACAAATACTTAAATGATTTAACAAACAAACAAACAGAAAACCTAAATCAGAGCTATACAGACTTAATGGTTTAAAAAAAAAAAAACAACCCAAACCCAAAAAACCTATTTTGATAAGAATATTAATGTTTTTTCACAGCCTAAAATTCCACATTTTAAAACCCTGAAAACTTGTCAGATGATTCATACTTACTTTAGTTAGGTAACTACGATTATTTTAAAAGGGACAAAAGTATTAATTTGAGGAAGGTACAAAAGCATCTAAACTATGGTTTTAATCACAGAGAAGTGGGGGAAAAAACAGTGGGTACTATTTTGTGTGCAATTCCCAAGTATATTTTTAAAACAAGAGTGAATTTTTATAGACAAATTATATTTTTCTGCTAACAAGGGAGTTGGGGGGGGTAAATAATAGAATGATTGACAAATCTTTTAGGGCCTGATTTTACAAGATGCTGCACAACTCCTGATTGCTGCCAATCACTTGCATTTCCTTTCAATGGATCTGAGAACATATGGCATTATTCAGCTGGTGCTGAGCACCTTTAATCACAGTCCTCAGAATGCCACATTATCCTCATTCTGTGCAAATGTGAGAATTGCTGCTGACGTTTCAAATTGGAGGGTTATTTGGTCCTTGCCTGGACAAACTCCCAAATGATGTAAATGGATGTCCTACCTGAGAAAGGACTGCAACAGCAAAGCGATAAAAATCCATTTTATAAGCACTGTTTTATATACACAAACTGTGTAAAGTATCAATTCAGTACATAAGATTCTTTACCTCTTCCACTTTTATTCAATGGAAAAAAATGCTGTTCTTATGGAGAACTGAAGTTTAGTTTACTCTCAGTGCAAATTTCAAAAAGTGGAAACTCTGGATGTTATGTGCGCAATGCAGTTGATTTAAAGAGATCAGAAAGATGTTTAAAAAAAATAATCAATTTCAACATACTTATTGTCCTGCATTACAGTTACCTGTAGAGACTCTCTAGTCATGTATATCTGTTTTTGATACCTCTACAGAATAACTGTCCAGCATCCTCTACCCAACCAATCAGAATGTAGGAAAATCTACAGATATGACGGAATCTACTGTGAATCTACCTACCAGAAGTATGTTGAAATCTGTGTGAGTCTTACCTCTAGCTCGTGCATTTAGTGCTCGTGCTCTCCCGCTATTCAGAAATTACACATGTATTGAAACCGTGTACTTCTACTTATGTGCAAAACCTCTACAGCAGGCACAGAAATATGTTGTTTAATTCTTTGGGATTGTGCTCTAAGAACTAAAAAGCAAATAAAAAGCCCTATGACTTTATTAAATCTCTTAGGTATGCTTCTGTATAGTGCAATAAACAAGAATGTATACACTAGAAAAATCTAGGCAAAATATATTGCACAGGTGCTTCACATCTTAGGGATTTGAAAGGTGTGTTATGTATAAATTAGCTGTCACTTTTTTTCAGTCATGTAATGGAATGATGAGTTGTAATTTGCATAATCCTTTAAGAAGTCAAATTATACTGTCATGTAGCAGACTTAACATGCTAGCTAGGATTTCATAGCTTTGCAGCTAATTAGTATGTACCTTACAGGACAGTTAAATTGAAGCTGAATCCTCTTGCTTTGCAGTCATTTGCCTTTGTCCATTGCCCTAACAGAGCCTGCTTTTGTGCAAAACTAAATATTGTTACTGGTGCTTCTGACAAAGTGCTATTGCTGTGGGCAGGCAAATGAAGCATGGTTGACTTCTGTTACTTTTGCAATCAGTGAAGTTCCTATTTTACTGTAGTAAGATTTAATAATACATTTCTACATAGAACTGAAAAGTATGTATTTGACAGCTATATTGTAGATGATTTTGTATTAATATATTGCAAATGCATCATCAATTTTCTGTTATCTTACTGGATTTTGAAACTGCTTTCTGTTACTTAGTGGTTACCTTTTATACTCCAAGTATATTCCTGGTTTGTGTCTCAGTATTATCATCTTGTGTTTAACAGATTTCATTTTCCAAAAAGCATTAACGTCTGAAAATAAAATGTATTTACATTGCAACAAAATGTTTCTTTGGCAAGGCAGTAACACTGGTTGTAGTTTTCCAGGTCGTATTCTCTCATTCTCTCTTCTTATTCCATAACCTGCTGTTTGCTCAGTCTTTTTTTAGTAATAGATACCAGCACATCAGTAAATGCCGGTAATTCAGAGTAAATGAAGAGTAACATTTTGGTTTATGGAAGTGAGAGGAAAAGAGAAATATAGACTTATCCATATAATTGCAGTGTCAATATAACTTTGTGAGCCAAAATGAAAATTTTGACTTCTTGCTTGGCTTTGCTCTGAATGGCTACTTTTGGTGTTAGATATTATTTATTCATGCTTTATATTGATTTATAAATGTTTCTAAGAGCTCTTTTTGAATTTTTGATACCTTTGCACTCCACCTCTCCAAATTATGACAGTGTACAGGGGAAATGAAGCAGGCTAGATCTAGTGTGATTTTAAATGTCAACAGAGAACTTTGGTTTTTACTTTTCTTGTAACCTCAATTCAGTAATTGTAAAAATGTATTCATTTTTTTAAATGTTTGAAGCGGATTTGTTGTGTGGTATTTATATCAGCTTTTAGAAAGAGTTTCAAAATCATGAAATCGATTTGTGGAAATGAGGAAACTTGGCATAGTATAGAAGAGCCTGTCATCTTTGTCATGAGTTTTAAATAAAGCGATGGCCTCACTCTGAAACCTGCAGAATACCTGATTATCTTAATTTTTGAAATTAGATAAAGTTTATAGTCAGTATAGTTGAAGTACCTAGGAGAGCCGACTCCAAAATGGAATGGTACGTGTATACTTAAAAGTAGGCATATAATTACGTGTAGACATTGGCTAAATGGTTTTTTTCAAAAAAAGGCAAAATCTAAAAATCAGAAAGGTGATGAAACTGTTAGTGTTGTAATTGACTTCTGTTCACTTCTGTTATGTGAACTGTTTAAAATATTATTGCCTAGTTCACCTCATCTGTAAAAAGCATAGATTGCTTTGGAAGACTAATGGGTATGTCTTTCTATAGAAAATATAAGTGCTTTTTTCCTCTAATGTTAGTGGAGTTTTCTCCTGTTACTTCTCTGCCATTTAAGATCTCTGAGGAACACTTTCTGTCTTCATCCCAATGGATGTTTTTGGTACTTTTTTCTGTGGTAGTTTATTTCTAATAATATAAAAGTTTTAACAACAGTTAATGAAAACTTCTTACTATGCCAGGCCAAAAAAAAAAAAAAAAAAAGAAAGAAAGAAAAATCAAGCTATATTCATCATGTTTTTAAAGTTTATACCTTAATGCTACAAAATAGATGTGAACTGTTGGTGCTGCAGAATTATGTGAAGTATTGTATACCTACACACTGCAGCTGGAGATAAGATTGCAGCTTGGATAGTCATATTAGCAATAGCTTTAAATTAGGTGCTTAGGGCAGTGCAGCCGTGAAGGGTAGCGTAGGGCAGCAGGAGCTCGGTGCGGGCTGCGCGATCTACCAGGGACACTGGCTATGGGCCCAGGCCGCTGGTCTTTGCCTCTGTGCTTCTCTGGCTCCCTTGCCATTTGTACCAGACTTGTACCAGTTTAAAGCTACAAATTGTTACTGTGTGCTTGACAGCAGTGTAGACATATCTACTGGCAATCTGTGTTGCTTCATAAACATTTTAAGGTCCTTTTTACATCCCGGAGTTTTTCAGAGAATTGTTTAGTTAATACTCCTTTGCTGTAGTTCTGATAATCTTACGGTGTGGAGAAAGAAAGAAAAATCAAGCTATATTCATCATGTTTTTAAAGTTTATACCTTAATGCTACAAAATAGATGTGAACTGTTGGTGCTGCAGAATTATGTGAAGTATTGTATACCTACACACTGCAGCTGGAGATAAGATTGCAGCTTGGATAGTCATATTAGCAATAGCTTTAAATTAGGTGCTTAGGGCAGTGCAGCCGTGAAGGGTAGCGTAGGGCAGCAGGAGCTCGGTGCGGGCTGCGCGATCTACCAGGGACACTGGCTATGGGCCCAGGCCGCTGGTCTTTGCCTCTGTGCTTCTCTGGCTCCCTTGCCATTTGTACCAGACTTGTACCAGTTTAAAGCTACAAATTGTTACTGTGTGCTTGACAGCAGTGTAGACATATCTACTGGCAATCTGTGTTGCTTCATAAACATTTTAAGGTCCTTTTTACATCCCGGAGTTTTTCAGAGAATTGTTTAGTTAATACTCCTTTGCTGTAGTTCTGATAATCTTACGGTGTGGTCACCTACTAGACGTGAGTCTGTGCGCCTGCCACATGGTGAGGCTTCTTGCTTGCTAGGAGTTTCATTTTAAGTGATGGACTTTAAGAGTGGTTGGGCTTTCTCACAGGCTGTGAAGGGTGCCTCTCCGCACTTGATTAAAGCAAGGAGAATGGATGTGAAAAGGACACTGGTTGTCAACAGAAGAGGTTACATGGCAGTACATACTGCATTCCTACATCAGTAGCGCATATTACATCTTTTCCCTAGAGGTTAACTTCTGGGCTTGTTGTAAAACAGTGAACTGTTTTTTCTTAAAGCTAAAGAAATTTTAAGGTATAGCCTGCACGGAGTAGGACAGAATACACAACTGTGGATTTAAGAGCTTGACAGGTTTTTCTCCACCTCATTTTAAAATGAAAAAAATATATGAGAGCCTATTGTGGATATATGCTTGTGTACCTGCTGAA